TAACTGACTGAACCACACAGGTGCCCCTGTATAATATCTTTTCTTTGTAAAAAATATATCCCAAGTTCCAAGTACTCTACCTACCCCCAAATTAACTTTTATACCCACTGGTGAGCTGGGAGCTGACTTTATTTCAGTCCTAATTTTTGCATCTTCCAACTGATTGGAATGGTTTTTATTGATATGATTTGTACTGGAAAAACCCTTGAAAATCAATAATTAAACTAACTCAAACAGTGAAATAATTCAGCATTTGGCAGAATATAAATTACCATGCAGAAATCAGTAACTTTCATGTCCACAAATAATAACCAGTTAAAGGATATAAAGAAAGCCCTCTTTCAGTAGCAACAGAGAAGATAAAATACTTAGGAATAAATTTAACAAGACAAGCACAAAACTAATATGAAGAAAATTTTTAAAACTTCTAAAAGACACAAAAGTAGACTTAATAAATGGAAGATAACCTTTGTTTTTAGATAGGACAACTTAATATTACAAAGATTTCAGTTGTCCCTAAATTAGTTTATAAATTGAATGCAATTCCAATAAAAACAACACATTTTTAAAAAACATTTTTATTGGAATTTTTATTTGTTTATCTGACAGAGAGCGAGAGAGCAAGCACACAAGCAGGGGGTGCGGCAGGCAGAGGGAGAAAGAGAAGCAAATTCCCTGCTGAGCAGGAAGCCCAACATGGGGCTCAGTCCCAGGATTCCGGGATCATGACCTGAGCCAGAGGCAGACGCTTAACCGACTCAGCCACCCAGGCGCCCCACCAACCTATTTTTTTATGGAACTGGACATGTTGATGTTAAAGTTCATATGACAAAATAAACATGCAGGAATAACCAGGAAAGCATCAAAAAATAAGTTATGAGGAGTCACTATTCCTATCATACATTGAAACATACTATAAAACCTCTGTAACTGAAACAGTGTGGTGCTGGTGTATGAGTCAACAGACATGCCAGTGGAATAGAACAGAAAGCTCAGAAATAGACTCAAATATATGAGAAAATTAAGCATATGGTAAATGTGACATCTCATAGCAGTGGGGCAGAGATAGACTATTTTCTTTACAAATGGTGCTAGGAACTGGGTAACCATTTGGAAAAAGGTAAAATTAGATTCAAATCTCACATCATCCACAAAAATAAATGCCAACGGGTCAGGGATCTAAATGTGAAAACTGAAACCATGCTAGAAGAAAACATGGGTGAATTTTATTTTAACTTTGGTATAAGGAAAGTATAATCATGACTCAAAATCCAGAGGCAATAAAAAAATTGCTATATTTGACCACATTAAAAAAAATCACTTTGGCATATCAAAAAATACCACAACAAAATATTTGACAGTTGAGAAGCTGGTAGAAAATATTTCTGGTACATATCACAGTTAAAGAGGTAACATCTCTAGTCTTAAAATTGAGAGGGAAAAGAGCAAAACCAATTGAAAATGACACAATTCACAAAAATGATGTAAAAACAGCCCTTCCACATCTCAAAAGATTTTTAACCTTACTCCTAAGAGAAATGCAAAACCAAAAACTATCCTGTGATATCATTTCTCATATCAGATTGGCAAAAATTAAAAAGTATGAACTTTAATGGCTGGTAACAATGAAAATTGGTACTACCCATATAGTATGGAAAGGGGGAAAGTAGAATTGGAGGTACTCACTAGGAACTCATGGCTTTATACCTATTCATATGTATCGATATAGTACATATACATACTTATGTATGCCTGAGTGAATATACACATCTCATTCCTATCTTTGTCTGATGAGAGATCCTGGGAATAATGACAGCCCAGTAGCAATGAGCACAACTGTAGCACAGGTACAGGTTTCTAGATGCCATCCTCCACTGAAAGCAATCGGGGGGGGGGTCCCTGTAGTAATGGTTAATTCCAGGGTGGGGGAAGGAAAAGTACAAGATGGACCTAGAATACCTTGTTGTACCAAAAAGTAAGGGAGTGTTCAAAGGTTAAAAAGGATATGCCAAAAGGATACAAGAGCCAGACTGAAGGGGCTCCCACTGGTCAAATCAAAGGAAATTTGAGGATCAAAATAATTATAGTAAAGCACATTGATTAAAACAAGAATCCATGAGTTCAGAGTGATTTAAATAAATTAATGGGAGAGAAGGCAAGCTTTTTCCCTACTTGACAACTAATTAATATAGAAGGAATGATGGAATTAGAAAATCACCATTCAGCAACCATCCTAATAATAATAGATCAAAGCAAGAAGCAGCAGTGAGTGCTAAAACTAACAAGCCAAAGTTTTAGAAAGAATAGAATATAAACGTATTCTCAAATTATCTCCCCATAAAATAATGATTAGTTCCAAGGGGAAAATAGTAGCTTCACAGTGGAGAAATGACTGCCTTAACAAAGTGATCAAATAATAAATCAACATCACGTCCTTCCTAATATGAAGCCTCAAGAAGATGTATCACTTTTATGATACTTCTGCACAACCCATCACCTGAGCCTAATCATCAGGAAATATCAAAGTCCAATTGAGAGACTTCATAATAACTAGTCTGTACTGCATATCATGTGTTCAATACATAAAAATAAAATTAACTCTTTTTAACTAACTCATGTGCACATTTAGAGCATAATTAGCATAGGTTTTTGTTCAAAAAATGCAGGATATGAGAAGTTTCAGTGTAAGTGTAGCTAGTTTCTGAAGCAGGTGGTCAAAGGAGGAACTATTTTGGCAGATTAGCAACCATGTTTGGGCAAGTTGATTTCTATCAGGGTAGGGAGAAACAGTTATGGAGAGGAAGGACATGCAAGAGCCATAGCGGAGAGTTCTCAAGCCTTTATTGTCTCTTACAGGGTCTTTAAATGAAATTTTCAAGCCTTAATAAGAATCAAACAGCTCTTCAAAATTATCCTTTTGAATTTAATGCTAAATTTAAATTTTTTCCTGCTAAATCCCACTGATTCCACTAGAGATTAAATTTGGATGTGTCATAAACTAATCCGCTTCATGCAAAGAAAAAGAATTGTATGTAAAAGGAAAACACTCCATGTGTTAAAGGATAATTTTCTTTCTTTTTTTTTTTTTAAAGATTTTATTTATTTATTCGAGAGAATGAGAGAGAGAGAGCATGAGAGGGGGGAGGGTCAGAGGGAGAAGCAGACTCCCCGCCGAGCAGGGAGCCCGATATGGGACTCCATCCCGGGACTCCAGGATCATGACCTGAGCCGAAGGCAGTCGCCCAGCCAACTGAGCCACCAAGGCACCCTAAAGGATAATTTTCAAAAAGAGATAAAATCATGACCCTTGTACAAATATAAAAATGAATACATGTTAAAGATTTTATTTAATTCACTAGTGAGGAAACTGGTAAGGTGTTAAAACTAGTTCAAAGGACAACCCAAGGATCAGATCATGAATATTAAAACAAATGTGCAAGTGGCGGCAAAACCTGTTTTCCACGGGGGTGGTGGGGATTGTCACTACACTGTATAGAAGTCACTGGCGTATGTATAAACTAGAATTGGTTTCTATAGCCGACAAAACCAAAAGACAACTGACAGAATGGGAGAAGATATTTGCAAATGACATATCAGATAAAGGGCTAGTATCCATAATCTATAAGGAACTTATCAAACTCAACACCCAAAGAATAAATAATCCAGTCAATAAATGGGCAGAAGACATGAACAGACATTTCTCCAAAGAAGACATCCAAATGGCCAACAGAAACATGAAAAAGTGTTCAACATCACTCGGCATCAGGGAAATACAAATCAAAACCACAGTGAGATACCACCTCACACCAGTCAGAATGGCTCAAATTAACAAGTCAGGAAACGACAGATGTTGGCGGGGATGCGGAGAAAGGAGAATCCTCTTACACTGCTGGTGGGGATGCAAGCTGGTACAGCCACTCTGGAAAACAGTATAGAAGTTCCTCAAAAAGTTGAAAATAGAGCTACCCTACGACCCAGCAATTGCCCTACTGGGTATTTACCCCAAAGATACAAATGTAGTGATCCAAAGGGGCACCTGCACCCCAATGTTTATAGCAGCAACGTCCACAATAGCCAAACTATGGAAAGAACTCAGATGTCCATCGACAGATGAATGGAGAAAGAAGAGGTGGTATATATACACAATGGAATATTACACAGCCATCAAAAATGAAATCTTGCCATTTGCAACCATGTGGATGGAACTAGAGGGCATTATGCTAAGCGGAGTAAGTCAGAGAAAGACAATTATCATATGATCTCACTGATACATGGAATTTAAGAAACAAAACAGAGGATCATAGGGGAAGAGAGGAAAAAATAAAACAAGAGGAAACCATAGAGGGAGACAAATCATAAGAGACTCTTAATCATAAGGAACAAACTGAGGGTTGCTGGAGGGGAAGGGGGTAGGGAGATGGGGTAACTGGAGGATGGACATTAAGGAGGGCACGTGACGTAATGAGTATTATATTATATAAGACTGATGAATCACAGGCCCGTACCTCTGAAACCAATAATACATCATATGTTAATTAATTGAATTTAAATTTTAAAATGTTTTTTTTAAAAAGCATTAGTTTCCATTGCTATCAGTTATCCACAACTTATAAAGCTGTGAAATAATTCCCATGGCATCAGATTCAGATAGCCTGAAAGGATGTATCCTACAGTGCATAACCGTCTGGCCCCCATAACCGTAAATAGTTACCGTCTATCTCCAAACCAGAAGAGGCAGAGAGTTTTGGATGGCAGTGGTCATAAGGCTAACTTCCCAATTCAGTGAGCATATGGTTAAGGGAATTTTTTCCTTCCATCCTCAGATGATTGCAAGCAGATTAGATACAATACTTCTTTGGCTCACTACTTGAGTGTCGCAGAGCCAGCCGTGAAGAGGCCCATACCTGGACAAGCTAGTGAGCTACTTAATGGTCACACAACAGCCCCCCAACTCCTCAGGGCTGCCTAAGTAAAACTGCACCTTCAAAAGGACACCGTGCAGTCGGAGTGGGTATTTGGCCCCCTTTTGGGTAGTGAGGAGGAAGTGGCTTCACGGGCGTATGCTATTCATAAATGAATGTGAAACATCACCTAGAGTTTTGCCTCTCCATCGACCGCCCACTTGCACAAGTCTGAGTTCTTTTGCTAGAAATGACTCCCCCACGACCTTTAAAACATCACGGCTCAGGATGTGAGTTTGGGTTAGGCTCAACCAACTACAGGCTTCTTTATTGAAAAAAAGGAGGGTACATTATAATTCCTAACTGCCGAGTTTGTTGCGAAATTTAAAGAAAATGCTTTGCAAACTGCGAAGAGTTACTAAAAAGATAAAATCTGCTCCTCTTTGAGGATGCTACGTCGCAAAATTCATCTATGGAAAGAGAAGAAATCTTGGCTCCCATCAAGCATCAACGGAGTTTCCCCGGAGCTGGGCCAGCGGGAGAATCTGGTGCTTCTCCGCTGGCTCCTCCCCCGTCACACCGGCCCGGGCCCGGGTCAGAGGCGGCGGGGGCTCCGGCGCCAGGCCTCCACCGCCCACCGCCCGCTGGGGTGAAATACCGTGCGGGGGCGGGGCAGGCCCGGCCGCCCAGTTCCTGATTCTACAAGCGGTGCCGGGGGCTGCCGGCGCCACAGGCGCGGGCACCGTGGGCGGCGAAGGATGGGCCGGCGCGGCGCAGCGAGCCTGTCCCGAGGCCCCAGCCTGCGGCGGCCGCTCCTCCCCGGCGTCCTCCCCTTGCTGCTGCGCCTGCTACTGCTGGCGGCCCCGCCGGGCGCGGGCGCAGGGGCCGGCCGGCCGCCGCACCTCGTTTTCGTGCTGGCGGACGACCTGGGCTGGAACGACGTGGGCTTCCACGGCTCGAACATCCGCACGCCGCACCTGGACGCGCTGGTGGCCGGCGGGGTGCTCCTGGACAACTACTACACGCAGCCGCTGTGCACGCCTTCGCGGAGCCAGCTGCTCACCGGCCGCTACCAGGTACGCAACGCCCCCGGCAGCCCGCCAACCCGTCGCCGGCACCCCGCTCCGCCCCTCCCGTGGCCGCCGCTCGGCCCTCCTGCCGCGCCCCGCCGCCCGGCCCGCGAGCCTCTGGCAAGTGGGGCCGGGAGGCCGGGGCGGGCGCTGGCGATCCGGCGTCAGTTTCCCGAGCTGGGTCCAGGCGAGGCGGCTGCTCCCCCTGGCCGTGCCGTCCCCGCTTCTCCCCGGCCCGCAGGCCGCCGCGGCCTCCGCGCATGCCCGCTCCAGGGCGACCCGCAGCCCCCGGAGCCCCACTTCCTCCAGGGCTTTTTCGGTCTTTCGTTTTCTAAAGGTCGGGGTGAAAGGGTTTCTAGGAGAGTGGTAATGCTAGGCCTGCGAGCCGTAGGCCGAAGGGTCGGAGTGGACTCTGCAGAGAGGTCCTGAAGACTGACGAAGGAGAGGGAGCGGGCTGGGCACCCCGGAGTGGAGCGGAGAGAGGAGGGGAGCCGGGAAAGCAGGGGCGGGGCGCCAGGTAAAGGGAAAAGAGTGTGCGCGGTAGGTGCGACTCTGCTCCCCTGCGAACCCAGCGGCCCTAGGTTAGGACTGTCGGATCAGAGATTGATTTTTCCAGTTCTCAGCACAGTGAACGTACCCAGGTTGATTTTTCTTGGGCTGCTGATATTCCTTTCTGATTTAACCTTGTGTTCAGTGCTTCTGAGCACCTTTATTATCTATTTATCAATGAAGTATAATTGGCATATAATATCCTATCAGCTTCAGGGGTGCATCATAGTGATTCTATATCTTTGTACATTATGAAATGATCCCCATAATAAGTCTAGCTATCATTTATCACCATACAAAATTACAGCATATTATTGGCTATATCCCCAATGCTGTACCTTATACCTCCATGACTTATTTTTTATCTAGAAGTTTGTACCTCTGAATCCTCTTCGCCCTTTTCACCGGCCCCGCAACCCCTCTCCCCTCTGGAAACCAACTGTTTCCTGTATCTATGAATCTGTTTGTTTTATGTTGTTTGTTCATTGTTTTGGTTTTTAGATTCCACACATAACTGAAATCATATGGTATTTGTCTTTCTCTGACTTCGCTTCGCATTATACCCTCTAGGTTCCATCCATGTTGCGACAATGGTAGGATTTCATTCTTTTTTATGGCTGAGTAATATTCCATGTTTTATATCTATATATACATACATATATGACATCTAATTTTATCTATTCATCTGTGGATGGACGCTTAGGTTGCTTCCATGTCTTGGCTATTGTAAAGAGTGCTGCAGAGAACATAGGGGGGGCATAGATCTCCTCAGATTGGTTTGTCCTTTTCTTCTGATAAGTATCCAGAAGTGGAATTGCTGGGTCATGTGATAGCTCTAGTTCTAATTTTCTGAGGAACATCCATACTGTTTTCCCTAGTGGCTGTACCAATTTACATTCCTATCAACAGGGCGGAGGGCTCCACATCCTCACCAACACTTGTTATTTCTTGTTCTTTTGATACTAGCCAATCTGACAGATGTCAAGTGATAGCTCACATTATCTCTAAAAGCTTTTCTTTAACAACTTCTATGTAGTTAACAGAGATATGTATACTTGTAGAGAGTGTGCACATATGTTACATAACTAAGAATATCAAGAACATTTGCATGGTGCTTCACTGTTTTTAAAGTTATTCTTGAAATAGCTCATGAGGTAGCTGTAACTTTTAATCCCCTTTTACAGATAAGGAAATAAACTTGTAGAAGTTCGATTACATGTTAAGAATCACACAGCTAGAAAGTGGTAATATTGGATCTTGTGCCTCTCCTGTATCCACTGGTCATCTCAGGCCCATAAAATTGTATCCTTTTTGCTTAATCTGACTAAGACTGATGATTTTATAAGATCCTGATGTGATTATGGCTATCTATATTAACTACAATAAATGGTTACTGTTCCAGAACACAAGCATACCTCCTTATACATGTTCATTTATTTTTTTTTAAAGATTTTATTTATTTATTTGACAGAGAGCGAGAGCAGGGAACACAAGCAGGGGGAGTGGGAGAGGGAGAAGCAGGCTTCCCGCGGAGCAGGGAGCCCGATGCGGGGCTCGATCCCAGGACCCTGGGATCATGTATACCTCCTTATACATGTATTGTTTATTCAACAAGCACATTTTGAGCCCTTACTGTGCAAGTCACGGGATATGCTTGAACCTTGCCCTCCTAAGTCTGTGTTCATGTAGCCTCTCTGATCAACCCTAGCTCGTTGTCCAAAGATCAAGAGAAGGGAGGGTTTATATGCAATAAAGATTCCCATGGTGATCCAAAGACTTGTAGAAACAGAAAAGATAGAATTTTACTACAGGACTGAGAAGTAGCTGTCGTCCAGGTTTCCATGAAGGTCAGGGATGGCTCCCTTCACCCCCAGCCCTAGGTACTTTCCACAGGTCTAGCCTTGGCTGCAAGGTGTAATCAGGAATCTGTGCTTTAAGACAGATCTCACCCTGGACACTTAGTAGGAGTAAGGGCGCATTTGAGTAAAGAAGGAAGGAGAGAATGCAAGGTCTGCCCCCAATAGTTCTGCATTTGCTCTGAAATAAGAGAACTGAACTCAAATTGCAGAAGAATGGGAGGGCCATTCATTTCTCTGACTTCCTCCCTTCCAACAGACTTGAACAAGAAAGCAAATACCATACTTTAAAAAACTTGTTCTTATAATTGGCTGCTTTTGTCCCCTCACATCCTTCTCTGCCAGTCACCACCATTCCATCTTGGAGAAAAAACGTGTGTAGAGTGCCTTGTGGTTAAGATGTGAAGGAAGGGTAGAAGTTGCGTACTCCAGAACAGTTCAGAGACCACTCACTGTCGCAGGCTAGCCTCCCTAAACATTTTGCTTGACTTTTCTCCCGTTTTACTCTGATTTCAGGAGACCCAATTACAAATTACCTCAGGCTAGCAAGCGTCCTTTCCTAAAGGAGCCAACACTTCAGGGAGAACTAAGGAGCCTCATTGCCCTCAGATACTATATACTGATACCATTCTGAGCACTTTACACTTTAATTCATTGACTTCTCTCAGCAACCCGGTGAGGTAGGTACTACTTTTATCCCTATTTGATAACAAGGAAACCAAGGCTGGAAGAGGGTAAGAACCTTGCCCAAGGTCACAGGGCTAGTAAGTGGTAGACCAGGACGTGGCCAGGCAGCATGGCTCTCAAACCACTACATTATGTTGCCTGCTCAGAATTATTAAAAATATCATCACAAGAGCTGCTTCAGATTTGCTAAACGATCCATTATTTTTGGACATTTAGGTCGTTTCCAAACATCTCAACAACAAAAAGTTAATCCATATTGTTTCAAGTTAGGAATTGGCTATGTTAAATGGAAAATGAAAATAGGGGAAGAGGTTTTATTTCTGAACGAGTCATGTGTTGTGCAATATTTTAGACACTAAAATGAGGAAATTTGTTGACTATTTCAAAGTTAGGTACTTGAAAGAACTACATAATAGTTCTATCTGTGAATTAACAGTCGTCTTTTAATAGAATATTTAGAGACCCATCCTTCCCATAGTCATGTCACTTTAGAAGAGTGTAAAGTGGTAACTAAGCCTAGCCTGATTGAACTTAGTTTCCCCAAATTCTGAGTTTTAGGTTTTTGGCTTATTAAAGTATTTAGTGAAGAGGACTGGTTGGGAATAATGAGATGTGGGTTCCAGTGTTCACCATGTCAGTCTTCACACTCTGACTAGCTGGACATCATTTTCCACATCTGTAAAATATGGGAGCTGGGCTGAACTCCCTGGCTCTTTCTAGCTCTACATTTCTTTGACTCTTAAGTCCCTGAGTCCCTTAGAGCGGGTTTCTGACTTGGCAAATGTACCTGATCATAGCTACTCACCCCATCTACTGGCGGGAAGAGAGATTACTCCTGCTCAGCGCGCTATGCTATGCGCCTTACAACGTTGCTGCTTGTTTGTCCAGAACTTGTTTCAACAGGCACGTGAACCCAGCCTTTTATATATGGACATGTAATTGTTCAGAACCCTCACATATGAACCTTTTTAAACCTGCATACTTTGGTGAAAAATGCATGGAGTTTGATAAAGCGGGGAAGAGGGAGACTGATCGGAAGAGGAGGCAAATGGTTATTGGTAAATTCAGGACTAGAATTCAGGTGACTGTACACAATCTTATGACTCCTTCATTCCTTATTTAAAAAATATTTTTGATGTATATTTTGATGTATATTTGAATAGACAACACAATGGTTTGAAAACTGAAAAGTTACTGAAAATCTCTCCTTATGTACATGCCCGCATGTACACACACACACTGTTTTGTTCCTTAGGCATCGGCTCCCCATTGTGAAGGCAAACAGTGCTATCTGAATTGTATATGTAGTTCTTTTGTAAAGTATTTTATGCATACACAAGCAAATACATATGTGGATATTACCTTTCTTTTTATATGGATGGTAGCATACTCTTCACATGTTTGTTTTTATACTTGAAATAATTCCACATTGTTAGTAAAAGAGCATTCTCAGTATTTATGACTATAATATTTTGTTGAATGGATATATGATAATTTATTTAACTAGTCACATCATGGTGGCCATATAGATTATTTCTAGTCTTTTGATATGTCAAAGCTGAAGTCAGTACCTTCGCTATATATCATTTTACACATGGTTAAATATATCTGTAGGATAAATTCTTAGAAAAGGACTTTTTCTGGGTTTAAAGGTAGATGTGTTTGTAATTTTGAGAAATCCTACAAAATTGTACTTCAGTAGGTTGTATCAATCTACATTCCCACCAGCAACATAAGATATTGCCTATTTTCCTATACTCTATTTTTAAAAAAGATTGTATTTTTAAGTAATCTCTATACCCAGCATGGGGTTCAAACTCATAACCCCAAGATCAAGAGTCATATGCTCCACTGACTGAAAAGTCAGCCAGGTACTCCTCCTATACTCTATTTTTTTTTTTAACGTTTTATTTC